AGAGAGTTGCTGTATGACCACACCTCATGGTGGGGGTCTTTCTCCCTCCCTTTCTCTGTGTCTCACACACACACACACACACACACACACACGTGCCCTATGGTTATTAAAAATGGAAGAATCCGGTCTGAAGTGTGTGTCCCCTGTAAGCCTGTCACACTGGCGCACTAGTTTGTAAAAAAGGTCACACTCGGAGGCACTGAAGGTTAGCACTTCAGCATGCAGACTTGGGGAGGCACGGAGCCCCCGGTAGCTGGGTTTTAGGACCCTCCCAGCATTGTAGGTGAAAAGTGGAAATGTAATTATTTTTTGCTCATTCCACTCCCAACCTGGAAACAGAATCTGAAGCTTTTGCCACTGCTTTTGTTAGAGAGCCAAGGAAAATGATTATTTCCAGTTTGGGAAGAGGGATGAGAGCACTTGGCTCCAGCTCGCAGGGTGTGGCCTGTCATCTCTGTGACTTAGAAGCAAGCACAGAAGAAACTAGTTCTCTGCAAGTAGAGGCTTTGAGAAACGTTAGTGAAACTATAATTATTGCAACACAGGTGAGAATGGAAACAACTTTAGCGGTACCTGCCGTGGAGTGCCTAGCCTCAGAGCACAGGTGGGCTCCCTGCTTTGTGAAGGAGTAGATGGTATTTGCAGGATGGAGGCTTCCTGGCCACTACTTAACTCTTGTTCGGTACCGTGGAACCTGAGTGAAGGGGTAGACGCACGACTTCACGAGGCAGGCTGCTGGCGGCTTGGGAGCCACCGAGCCACCGCGGAAAGACTCTGGTATGGATGGAAGGGCGCTGCCTGCCTCGCCTTTACTGTTAGAGCCTAGAGCCAGGAGTGATGTCGAGCACGCGTCCTCGTCCGGTTAGGCTGTTGAACCGTGAAGCGAACGGCATGGGCACGAACCCCACCCACGAGCTCCTGGTCTCCTAGCCTGATCGTTCCTGAGTGCCCTCCTCCTGCATTACAGTGGGCTAGGGTTTCGGCGAACGGATTCTGTGGGAACACAGACTTTCAGGCTATTTGACAACGTGTTCATAAGTACAAATAATTAAGCTCAGTATTTCAAAATAGAATGGAATGGACCATAAAGGTCATTTATCACAACCTTATTTTTATAAGTAATTGAGGCTCAACAATCAAAGAATCGTGGGCAACCAGCAGTTAGCGTAATGGCTATGTCGCTGGACTCCCACGTAGTCGACCGCGGTTCGCGTCCCGGACCCGGTGGCTTAAAACTCACGCCAGGCACGTGTGCGTGCGTGCCCAAGATCCCGAGAGGAGAATGGAGGAGAAGGGATTGCGGCGTGACCATCCCCCCGGGGGGGGATTTCTCGCTTTCTGTCTCTCGCTGTCTGTCTGGCGAGCGCACGCGCCCTATAGCGAAAACCTCCCCCCCCCCAAAAAAAAAATCAAAGAATCGCCAGAACGTGATGACTGATTGGATTAGGGAGGGGGCGGGTGACTGGGTGATTTTGCTGAGTGACCCACGGTCAGGTGGTGGTCTACTCCAACCCCAGAACCCCTCCAGAGCGACCGGCTGTGCCCTGTGTGACTTAAACCTGGGGGCCCGGCCGCCTCCACACACTTCCGGTATGTGCTCTGCCTGCCTGTCCCTCTCTTGCATGCTCGCACTCTCTCTGTCTCTGTCTCTGTCTCTCTCTTTCACACACACGCACGCACACACACACAGCGTAAGAGCCAGGGGTTACAATAAGAAAATACAGATCTGGGCTCCAGGGAACAGCGCCGGGTCGCTCGGCCTGCCTACTGGTTACAGAGCCGTCATTGTTACTTTGCAGGCCTCCCTGCTCTCGATTCCCATCCACTGCCTCGTGTCTTCACAAAGCAGGGCCTCTCTCTAGCAGCGTTGCTGTTCAGAGCCAAAACAGACAGTGTTTCCTGTGCTTTGTTTTCAGATTCTTGGTTTGTAGGAAAAGTCATGCACATTTTTTCTTTATTTTCCTATGCAAAAATGCATCACGACTTTTTTGACAACCCAATACATTATGGCTAATTTACACATAAGTTAGACATTTTTTGAATTTTGGACCTCTCACCTTAAGTTAATATTTTTCTTTAAATAGTTGTTGTTTCAGGGTATACTTTTATATGAGTGAATTACTACATGAAAAGATTAGGTAAGAGGAAGCCAGGACCAGCAGTTAGCATAATGGCTGTGTCACTGGACTCCCACATAGTCGACTGCGGTTCGCGTCCCCTACCCAGCAGCTTAAACTCATGCTGGGCGCGTGTGCGTGTGTGCCCAAGATCCCGAGAGGAGAATGGAGGAGAAGGGATTGCGGCGTGACCATCCTCCCTGGGAAGTGATTTCTTGCTTTCTGTCTTTGTCTGGCAAGCACACGCGTCCTATAGCAAAAACCTCTCAAAAAAAAAAAAAAAAAGAAGAAAGAAAGACGAGGAAGCCGACTAGCCTACCACCAGGCCATGGGCTTGCCTGAACGTTTTTTTTTTTTCTCCTTTTATGATAGATTGTGACAGAGCAAGAAAGAGAGAGGGAGAGGTAGCGGCAGAGAGGGGGAGAAGAGATAGAGAGCGACGGTGGGGGGTGGATGCTGGCTCTGGTCATGCTGGTCAGGTCGTGGGCACTTGTGTATGTGCCCGCCTGTCTCACGCTGACTGGGTGGGGATTCAAACCTTGGTCACCACATGGAATCCTGAGGAGTGCGTTAGCACTGTGTCACAGTTGGCCCTAGAGGACCATGTTGACTTCATGACGTTTCTTTATGACATGATGCATCATCAGCTGAATGTGAGGAAGACCTGGTGTACCCTGCATTCTGTCACTTGAGTACCCTGACACGTGTTTAAACAGCTGAAATTTCTGACACACGTTCTACAGTAGAGTCTGATATTTACCTTGGATATGCTCTGTATAAAGGTGGCTTTTCCAGCCTGTATATAAAAAGATGTTTATCTTAATAACAGGAGCTAATGCCTTATTGGATAATTATATCAATTAAAAAATAGTTTTGTCATATAAGGGTGATTTAGCAGCAGAAAGTATAAAAAAATCAAGGACCTTTTCAATTGTGATTTATCCAATTTGGACTATATATAACTTATTTAAGGAAATTTACTTAAAATATTTTATGTAAAATATTTCAATTTATTTTTTTCTTCTTGTTGCAGGAGCTAGAGTTAATGCCAAAGACAGCAAATGGTTGACACCTTTACACAGAGCAGTTGCGTCTTGTAGTGAGGTATGAACCTTCTCTCAGCACACACACTGGGTGTAGGGGCTCTCAGCAGCCCTCCTGAGTCTACAGTCAGATTCTCTTCGAAAGGAACAGCTGCCGAAGTACCTAGACTAGTCACTTTAGGATTTGCACAAACCAAGTGAATTACCCATTTCTCCCTTTGTAAGACCTCTTGGAGAGTCCATAAAAGCAGAGTAGAAAGCCCTGCTCCTGCCCTTCCTGCAGAGAAGTTACTTGTCTGCCTTTCGCAGTCCACCTCAGGGCGTTTTCTGCTGGTCCACACTCGCCTGTTACAAAGACTCTCACTGATCGTGATCGAGTAGTATCATCCGGATATAATGAGTACTTAAAATGTTACTTAGCACTGAAATTAGTTTAAAAACATTACTCGAGTGTCCATTTTACAAGTTCTAAATATATAACCGTGAAATAGTTGAGGCGTCTTACGGAGGGACTAGTTCACTCTCACATACGGCCCTGCGTGTTGTCTGTTCATCAAGGTAACTGGTATTTCTCGTGAATCGTCACTATCTGCAAAGCACCCTGACTCCCATCTTTTGAAATATCTTGTAGTCCTCATCACATCTCTTGGTATTTTGAGGAAACTACCACTCGGTTGTGGAATGGCAGAGAAGGGGTAGAAGCTTGAGACCCGTCGTTTTGTGGCCTTGCTAGATTCAGTGGGCACCCTTCTCAGAGGCACTGTGCCGAAGCACCCCTTTCTGTCTGTCTGATGGCAGGCGATGCCTGTCCTGATTTAAAGACACACCACAGACCCTTATGGTGCGTGGCTGTCACAGTTAGGGGTGGTCCGTGCTTCTTCAGTCCCTCAGATCAGGAGAGCAGAAAGGAACTCACAAGTGGGCTCTGTCCTTTCCCCTGTCGTAGGACTGAGGAGTTCTAGAGAGGGTGAGGGAATTCTTTTCTCCTTCTCCTCCTCTTCCTTCTTTTAAGAATTGTGTATTTAATTTTATTTATTGTTATTTTATTTGTTATAGGACACGTGTTCCCCACCCCCCAGGGAGAGGGTGGGTGAGAAAGCGAGCCGCCTGGCACCTCAGGGGAGTCAGGGAGCGGCTGGGGAGATGGGACCAGGAGAGGGGACGGTGACTGGGAAGGACCGTAGAGCCACCTCCACCACATCCCTGACTGAGAGGAGGAGGGCGGAATGGGGGGCAGGTGTTGGTCGGGGTTCTCCACGCTTTCCAGCCGATTGGCCTGGACGACCTGTACCGACTAGCGTCACACACCACCTGCGGCTTTGGAGCTAAGCTAGTGTTGGGCAGCTCTTGTTACGAAGCTAAGACGTAATGGCCAAGATACTTTTAAATTTTGAAATTCAGTGAAAATTTTATGGTTACCCCCTCCCAATAAGGATGTTTCTTCAAGTAAAACAGTTGAGATAAACATCACTATTATTGGGACATATTGATTAAATCATCAGGATACATTTTGAATATTTGCAGAGGTTGTAAAACAGACAAAATCTTTTTAAAAATTAATGTTCACAATAGATGATAGGTTCTGCCTAGAAACTTAACTCCTGATTAAACACTCAACTCGGCCTAAATGTCAGGGCAAGCTGTAGGTTAGAAAGCAGTAGCCCGGTGAGTCCCTGAGTCCCTGTTTAGCCCAAGTGCAGCTGGACTATTGCACTCACCATCTTTGCAGGATTCGGGGAACAGCTGTGGAATATGGCCACTGTAGGAAGACACAACTGGAGTAAACAATGAATATCGTTTTTCTTTAAACGAATAAGCTTATGATTAGCTTGTGATTTTATTTTTAATCTGGGTCTTGAGAACAACGAGAGCTATCGGCATTTCACTCCATGGAGAAATAGCTGAAGCTGCAGGAGAGTATGTTAAGATACGAGTATTTCAAAGGCAGAATTTCAGGTAACTCTTGGTGTACGTTTTGGGATGCTAGGAGAGAAGTAACTTCTAGCAGGGTGGTTGGAGAGACTATTTTCAGGCTCTCCCCAGGATGTATGTAGATGACACGGTGGTCGATGCCTAGGAAGGAAGCTGCTGTCTCGCTAGAGTAATCCCAGAGGCCCTCGTTCGCTCTCCACGCCTGGGCTGAGAGACCCCGACCCACCCTCAGCAGCATGGCTTCCTCGTGCCTCAGCCACTGACTGCCGCCTGTCTTCCCCACGCCGAGCCCTGACCGCCGTTCTGAAGCGTGGCACACGGTCCAGCTCTGCCACGGCCTCGGCAACTCAGCGGCTGAGGAGCGGGGTCAGTGTGAGCGGCTGCGGGGCGGGGGC